ATGTTGAGAATGTGCCTTTTAAGATAATTAACTTAAGGTGAGTACATAAAAATTAACTAAATTTCGACCAACCCAGAGGTCCAAGACGATAATTGAAGGTTACGAAAACGACATGACGGCTGACGAAGTTTCTTAAAATTGACTCCTGCTTGTAGTCAGCAGAAGATCCAGTCTGGAAACCACCGCCATGAATCCATACTATCACCGGAAAACTTTCGTTGTAATACTAAAACGTTTTTTTTAGAAAGCGAAATATCTGTTAACAATAGAAAACTAAACATCATATGTATTTATTGTTGAATTTTAAGATCGATTAAAGGGCTCCTATTCAAAGTTGATTCTAAGATACGCAAAATGCTATGGTTTTTGTTTGTGACTTTACCGAAGCTGACATGAAACAAGTCACACTGCAGTTGATAATATGTGAATTAACTAGCAATGAAGTTTATAATTGTTTAAATTTAAACTTTTTCAACGGTGAAGCCCCATTATTATTTTCTGTTCTTTGTTGAATTTAAAAACGTGCTAGTTTGGGCCTGACGGCTTATCAAAAATTTAATTTGTCGATAAAGTTCTGACAGTGGCAGCGACCAGCATATCCAACGACGTGAAACATTGCGTCGCAGAACGTTGTAAGGATAGGCATTTCAGTTGTTTCAGGATCTCAATAATAAAATAGAAGATTTTGAACTCGGCAAACTTTTAATCGTACTCGAACATAAAGGCAAGTTGGCGTCACTACAGAAATCGAAAGCGTGGTTTTAATAAAGAGCTAGGAAAAAGACAGTGACAGATCAGAAGATCTGAAAAAGTTGTAAGCAAATTAGTAGGTAAGAAAACTCACTTACATGAGACAGAGCCCAATTCGATGTCAGCAAATACTTTCGATTGAACCTGCCTAGAAACCTTATTTAGAAAAATCATGAACAACACTTCTTCTTTTCTCGTTTTCCCTAGCATATTCCCTTTAACAGGGATATGTTAATCGTGTAAACCTCATCCACATTTTTCTGTCGATGGTTAGATCGTCGTAGACTCATCGCAGTTTCATATAGTTCTTGACGTCATTGCGCACTGACCAAACTCATGTGATCCTTAAAGTCTTCATCAGGACAACCTTGAAAAATTTATTCCTCGAACATGTACACTCTCAGACATTTGGGATTATACTAGATCCATCTTCAACTGCTATATGCACAAATAGCGTGCAATGAACTTGCCTTGTGAACTGTTTGTCGAATACGGCTCCTGAATATAGTGTGGCCATAAACGTAAGGAAACTTGTGAATAGTATAATACGTGGGTTAAATGTGCTAAATTCTATGCAGATTATTAACTATGCACTCTCATTAAGAATTCAAGCAATCTATTTAAAAATGAATATCAAATTGTGTACTTTATTCGTACATTGGCATTCATACCGAAATGTAGCAAAAACGGTGTTCGTTTAAAAGGGAGGGGTTAAGCAGCCTTGCATCCTTAAAATGCACACAGTCCCTGCGCAGATAGGATGTGCTCATTGTGCCGGCCTTCACATCAACCGAGCAGCAACAATTTTACCTTCAAGAAAGTCTGTTAGATACAAGCTGAAATGTCGACAGTGGTTTATCATCTTAGGGGCCAATTTTTTTGCATGGAATTTAAATGAGCCGTATGTTTGCTGTGTGCCAAATAACACTTCGAACAGTCGCTGTGAACTCAAAATACGATAAATTCGTTTCAACGTAGTAAAATCTTATGAAAAGTTAGCTGGAAATTTAATTAAATCCATTAGATCATTTGGAAACGGATTGACTAAATGACTCTGTTAAGTAGATGCATTACAGACGATGACAGATGAGAATAAGTGAAGTTATGCACTAATGAGCATTTGCATGGGTTACATTGGATCTGATCCTACCAGATTGTTTCGAATCACGGATCTATGCTAAACAAATACCATGCAGATGAAGATAGTAAAATCTAATCCAGTTGAATTATGGCTCCTCCACTATGAGAGTAGCTGAATACTTAAAGAAAATTTAATTTTTACCGTCTATAAGTCACACCTGTTAATTTAGTTACTTATTCATCTATGAATAATGGGCTTATAACAGTATGCCTGTAACATTAAAGATATTGTTAGCTTTAGCCCTCTTGGCCCAGTCATATCAAGAATAGAATTCGTAACCGTAAGAGATCATGTTTACCTGAGGAGGAGCAAAAACATTCAAGTATAGGCAGTCTTCAGAGCGTCTAATCCTGGCAAGTTCGACCAAATTTTTGTCTTTGTACAATTCATACTGCTGAGCGCAGCAGGGCCCATAATGCGTAGCGTTCATCACTCCTCTCCACTTCGCAGGAGCGATCGGAGGCTGAAAATCAAAACATGTATGCCGCTAAGTCAAAATAATCTTAATCGGTTGATTATTGACGATTCAATAACGAGTTAAAATTATCAGCAGAAACACATTCATTGATAATCTACCGTCTACTGACAATCAACATCGTCTGATCTGTGAAACGTTCGGAGGGAAATCTTCCAGCCCACGAAGACGATATCTTTCAGGGATAGCCGTAATGCATGGAAAATGTTTCTAATTCAATCTCTCTAGATGAAGCTAATAGTCCAGAACAGCGTTTTGGGACAGAACATAATTCATTATTGACCGAGTTGAAAATTACCATGAAATGGCTAAAACGTGACCAAGGTTGCATGGAAGATATCAATAGGCTCAAATTGCGCGAGTGTTCTATAGCTGATTGAGGTATACTCAGTTGAGCGAAGTCCTCAAAAACACAAAAACAGTGTCAATCCAGAGTGGCTCTCTATATCTTCAGAAAAGGCACTGGAGACTGCAGGAAGCATAGAGGAATCTCTTTTTGGCCTACTTGGTAAAATCTTGCCAAGTACTTGGAAAGGATATGCCGAAAAATAGTGGAGCACAAGATGACGGACGAGCAGTGTGACTTCCCTCATGGTCGGAGCTCTGTAACCATGTCTTTGCTTTCCCTCAAGTCTGTGAGCAATGCTGAGTATATGCAACACAGGTCCGTTCCTGTGCCGCAAATCTGAGAAAAACTTACGCCAGACTACCTCTTCGAAGTGACGTTCCTGTTGAAGAATACTCCAGGAAAGTCGGCGTTGCTGCCAGCTATTGGGGACTATCAAATCTTTACATGACTGCATAGCGGCCTGTGTAAATATAAGGAAGACAAGACTTTTCACTCTGCATGTCGACCACTGCAATGAGTGTGTGCGTTGTTTTCTAATGTTCATAATTTTATGGAATTGTGCAACAGACGCATCCTAGGCATAGAGGATGCGACAGTTGGAGAATCCCAACTTCACCATCTGCTGTTTGTAGATTATCTCCTCATGTATACTTTAAAATGTTTATGTTCAAAGTGCACTTGATTGTCTCGCTGATAAATACGATGGGTCCGACATGAAAATTAGCCTGATCGGAATCGAGACACTTATGCTCTTGAGAAAGGTCAATCAAAATGCACTTTAGGTACGTACAGTAGAACTAGAGCAAATAGAGCAGTTTCAGCAACTTATGGTAGCGTTCACGAGTGATGGCAGATAGGACGTAAAAAGATGCATAGGGATTGGCCATACGGGTAGAAGCTAAACCGGTCACTAATAATGTCGAAGGAGCTGTGATTCGCTTTCACGTATATATGCGCATTCGCCTTCTTCTATAATTATTAGTGCTGCCATGAGCGCTGGATTATGATAAAAAGGATGCGATTAAGAAAACCTGAGGCAGGAAAGTATGCTGTGCTGACGTGACAAGACTAGACAAAATCCGCAACCGGACGGTTCAATGAACTCTCTGTAGTGAGCCGTTCCTTACCAGGCTGAATAATCATAAATACAATGATCTATAGATACGATGAGGATGCCAAAAGGCAACATCCTAGGCGTAATTTCTTGGCAGTGATATGGAATACTCTCCAGCAACAGACTGTGAATCAGACGGCTCAATCATGTAGTGGACCAAGGAGCCAATTTGCTTATCCATGAACTACGGATATCGTAGAGGGCTGCTACTTCACAACCAGAAATTAATAGTGGATCTTGAAAATTAATGAAGATCGACGAAACGACGAAGAAGATACCAATCAGCAACGGAGTCGCTACTGCTTCTGAACTGAGTAGGTAGAAAACGCGATGCCATTTTAGCGCGTCACAAAAGGCTTCACAAAAACGGCACCGACACTGGGAGCTTACAGATGGAAATTGGAATATATCCTCAATGAGAGAGAAAGAGCAAGAGTTAGATGAGACTATACGGTACCAATACGACATAGTTGGAGTCTCGTCAACGAAACGCCAAGGTTTTGGAATCCTACACTTCTTCGAGTGGAAGAAATTCTACTCACGTGTCGATATCATGACGTAGGCTCACGTCGGTCTGGGTCTTCTGGCAGAAACCAACCTCGCTGATAGAATCATTGATTCGAAACCTATCAGCCGAAGGGTGACAATCTTCTGACTGAAGACTCTATAAAAAGCTAAAGCGTTGACCACGTTGACAAGTCAATGCGACCAATTTGGATAGAGAATATGACACATTCCTTGAGGAATAACAGTGTGCTCTGTCTCAAGTGCCGAATACAGACTTCCATATACCCCTGGGCAATTCTAATGTGCATGTCTAAAAAAACGATATAAAGTAGAACGGTGTGACTGGAAAAAAAGCGGCTATAGCGACCTCAGCAGTAACCGCATAAAGATGTTGCGGATTTGTGCAAACAACAGACTCTCCATTACTAACGCTTATTAACATCGAACAGTGCATCAGTACACCTGATACCGAGAAACCTGTGCACAGAATTCGATCACCGATTTAATAATCCTATCGTGTGTTTTAAGGCGCTCAGTAATGGCTGTTCGCGTTAAGAGAGGCGCAGAGCTATCAACCGATCATCAGCCTGTTGTCGGCACGCTGCGTAAGAAATGGAGTACCATACGAAGATCTGATGGCAGAAGCAACCGGAGAATCAAATGGGAAACATTACCTTCGGTGGACACGAGAGCGAAATTTGCAAACAACATTGTACGACGGTTTGAACAGATCCCAGTGATGACAACTGATATTGAAACCGAGTGGCAACTTTTTATGAGCGGTATACTCAAGGCTGCCGCCGAATGCTGCGGATTTAAACGGGTTGGCCTGCCGCCTGGAGGTCAGGAAAGATCCTCCTGGTGTACATGAGAGGTAAAACTGGCAGTTAAGGAGAAGAAAGCAACGTCCAAGAAATGGCTTGGAAACAAAAAGCCTTTTACCTGCGCGCGATATGTCGAGGCACGCAAGGCGGCAGCCATAGCAGAAGCCAAGGATGATTCCTGGGAGAAGTTCGGTGAGGTGTTGGAGTCGAATCTCCACACGGTAAACCATCTGCCGGCTCCGAGGTGAAAAAAGGGCATTCTATGAGTCTTGAAAGATAGGTCTGGACACCCTCCTACCGACCATAAGTATATCCTTCGGCGATGGAAAGAGTACTTTGAAGAACTACTTAAGTCCGAGCAACCGCAAGAAGACTCGCCCGCAGAGTAACAGTGAATGGTATTACCCTCTCTGTAGATCAAATTATACAAGCTGTGAAAGGCTTGGAAAATGGAAAGGCTAGTGGAATTGACGAAATCCGCCCTGAGATGCTCAAGGCATTAGGCGAACAAGGCATGTGCTGGCTAACACTTGTCTGTCAAACAGCGATGACTGTGAGAAAAACACCAGCGGACTGGAGATTGGGAGTTATTTCAAGATGGGAGACCACAAGGAATGCTCCAATTATAGGGGCATAACGTTATTGAGCCTCCCAGGTAAAGTCTACGGAAAGGTGTTAAAAAAGAGGTGCCGTGAAATAGTTGACGTCAAGATTTAAGAAGAGCAGTGTGGCTTCCGCCCCGGTCGAAGCACCTCTGACGATGTGTTTGCCCTGCGCCAGATTGGTGAGAAATCGTGGGAGTACGCGCAGCCACTGTATATGTGTTTTGTGGACCTAGAGAAAGCGTATGACCGGATCCCACGCAACAGTCTGTGGGCATGCCTTCGTA